GAAAGAAAGAAAGAAAGAAAGAAAGAAAGAAAGAAAGAAAGAAAGAAAGAAAGAAAGAAAGAAAGAAAGAAAGAAAGAAAGAAAGAAAGAAAAAAAAAAAAGAGAGAAAGAGACAACCACGATAATATGTTCAACTGTCAGAGAGAACAGGTCTATGGTCAGTAGAGGTTGGAAAGGGGGAGGAGGGGTTAGGGAGAAATTGGGTAATGGACACAAACAATGATTACAAATTGCAATGATGAACATGCTATGATACTGATTTGATTATCACATATTGTACACACATACTGAAATACTGATAGTCAACTCTGTACCCCATAAATATATATAATCAATTATATTTCAAGTGTGAAAAAAAATCATTAAATGGTTCAAAAAACTAGTATAAAACGTATGTAAAACATTATGCAGCTGTCTAAGTTCAGAATAAGTGTTATTTACTAAAATTAAACAGCTCAGAGTGCCTCTTTAAGTTACCTTTTTAAAATTCTGCTCTTACACGCTGTAAACTAACCCATTGAAAACTATCATTGGATAATTCAAACACATAAGAATAAAATCTATATAAATGGCAAAAAATATTGTATTATGTTTTGGGGATCTAACTTTAATTTTTTTCTACAGATGTGTTGGCTAAAATGTCATTATTGAGAGATATACAAGCTTTATGAAGTGTGAGTGTGAAAACCCAGAGGCACTTTTGAGGGAACCAGATGGGTTTAACCTTGAGTTAACATAGACCAGGGAGGACCACGTCTGTGCGTGATGCACGCTTCCATTTTGCTTTCCAGGTCAATTGCTCCAACTGATGCCATCAACAGAGAGAGAGTTTCTCTGGCACTGAGCACCATCGTTCTTTCATCCAGTTCCTTTAATGATTATCTACGGAGGTCTCTCCCTGGGTCAGGCACTGTGACGGGTGCTGAGAATGTAAGAATAAGCAAAACAGAAGCATCCCTGCCCTCATAGAACTTACAGCCCACTGGGGGAGAAGGCCATCAATTTTAATCTTTGTCACCTTGATAAAAAAACAAAAAACAGTAGCATTTACTTTAATTGGCATTTGGTAACTAATTAGGCCAACCACTTTTTCATATATTAATGGATTATTTGCATTTCTCTTT